TCTCTCTCTCTCTCTCTCTCTCTCTCTCTCTCTCTATCTATCTATCTATCTATCTATCTATCTATCTATCTATCTATCTATATATCTATCTATCTGACTTTTTTATGTGTTCTTTGAAAGTGTTTTAATCCCTATGTTTATTATTATAGGGGTATGGGGACTGATGATTAATGCAAGTCCCCGATACTCTACACGGCTGTCTGCTAAAGTTTTAGCAGCACTGCTAATTGATAAGGCTAGCAACAATGTGTGTGACACTGTGCTGTCATGAAATTTTCTCAGTTTTGTCTTCTTCTTGATTCCCACTACATGGCATCCCCGGTGTTGATGCCAAGATCGCCGGTTCGAATCCTTGCAGCACTGCGGATCAGATCCAAGGCCAGTACTGATCACATCACTCTCAAGCTAACTGATCAGTAGATTACTAGATTCCCTACTCTGAGCCTTGGATCTGTCAGCACGCAGTGCAGTTACCACGCAGTTAGCATGCAGTTAGCACGCATTTAGCACGCAGTAGAGTTACCATGCAGTTACCACGTAGTTACCACGTAGTTACCACGCAGTCACCACGCCGTTACCACGCAGTTACCACGCAGTTACCACGCAGTTGGCATGCAGTTTCCACGCACGTCAGATGCTGTTAGCACGCACTTAGCACGCGGTGCAGTTACCACGCAGTTACGCATGCAGGTACCACACAGTCAGCATGCAAATAGCACGCACTTAGCACGCTGTGCCGAAGGCAGGCAGTAGCCACGTAGTTACCACAGCAGTTAGCACGCACTTAGCACGCAGTGCAGTAGGCACGCAGTAACCACGGAGTTACCACAGCAGTTACCACAGCAGTTACCACGTAGTTAGCGTGCAGACAGCACGCACTTAGCACACAGTGCAGTAGGCACGCAGTTCGCATGCAGTTACCACGCATTCAGCTCGCAGCTAGTATGCAGACAGCACGCCGTGCTGATCAAATTTACGTCGAAGTATATCAGGCTCATGCAGTGCGAGTTAACAGCTCCAAGGCTCGAGCTACTGAAACTACTGATCAGTTTTTTTTACGTGGCGAGTTCATCCCGTACTCTTGTAGTGATTGATCCTCGTACGCCAGACTACATAAGAGTACGTCAGAGTACTGACGTACGCCAGAGTACGTCAGAGTACTGTTCCTATAGAGACAGAGAGACGAGCATTACTACCTACCTCTTCCCCCGACTACCGGTAGAAAAGACGGTCATTTAAGTTGAACGTAGGGCAACGCTCAGTCTCGTCGCCAGAGCGATAATGACGCTTCGTTCTATTCGCAGGAAGACGGTAGCCGTCTGGCATGCATGCATGGATTCGAACCCGTGATGTAAACCTCACACACCTGTGGATCATGTTCTGATCGGATTTTCACTTTTTTTTCTGTACTGATCAATATTGCTCTTTTTTTTTTCGAGGGAAGACCGTATCCTAAAATGCTGCGTAGCTCTTTTTTTTTTTTTTTTTTTTTTAAAAAAACAGCTCCAACCGATTCGTGGGGAGTGGCACGTGCTGGACGCCAGACCCAGCACGATGGCAGCATCCATGTATCAAAGAAACATTAAAAATATATATTTGAAAAGAACAATGTTCTTCTTTTTTCCTCCTCCTCCTCCTCCTTTTTCTTTTTCCTCCTCCTCCTCCTCCTTTTTCTTTTTCCTTCTTCTTCTTCTTCTTCTTCTTCTTCTTCTTCTTCTTCTTCTTCTTCTTCTTCTGTTGACGTGCCATTGCCACGTATCTCACCGAGAAGATAGCTCGTATACATGCATGCTCGGGGTGCGCTGTGCTCGGGGGAAGATGGCGGTGGTCACTGCATCCGTAGCTGCGCTCGGTTTGACAGAATGATGACAACGAAAAATACATAGGCAAATTCCACAACCACCCTCTCCCTCTTTTCCTCCTGACAATGCATTAATCAACATAATAATAATAATAATAATAATAATAATAATAATAATAAGCACAATATAAAAACAATATAAAACGGAAAAAGATATACTTGCATGCTTGATTCTACACCGGTTCATTTGTCCGATTGCCTCTGTCAGAATGTACGTGGACGTCGTCAAGTTCGCCTACAGATCATGCATGGCGTTTTCACATCTAGATGCATCTGTTTAGATGAGACAGTTCAGATTCATACGTAGTACGTACAATTCTCCCGAAATAAACCGAACAACAACGAATGGCTAGCATGCTCCCTCTACATTCCTCCCCCCTCCCCCTCCCCCCCCCTCCGCCGGCCCCCCAAGACGGGGTCGGGACGGGGGGAAGAAAAATACGTGCCTTTTTTTTTCTTTTAATTGGCCATTTCTCGATTTATTCGTGTCGTTTGGCCCACGCTAACCTTCGCTGTATCGTTCCAAATACGGATGTCAACATAAAAAAAAATTGTCCCCTTTTCTCCTTTCTTTATTTTTCCTCCTTTCCTTTTCCCGCCCCCGGATTTCAAAAAAAGAAAGGAAAAAGTAAAAACAAACAAAAAGTAAAAACAAAAAAACGTTAAAAAAAAAAAAAGAAGTCAGAAGTTATTTCAGGAATACCATGATACGAACCTGTTCCGCCCAGCAATGACGATATCGAAAGCAGATCTTGCCCCAGCTCCATTTACGCCATCTCTAGAAAAAGACTCTTTCGAAGTAGACGGCGAGCCGCCATCGCCGTCCTCCACTAACGGCAGCCTAGCCATGGCCGCAGCGACAGAAGAGCCCACCCTGCCAGTTCCCCCGAGAATGACGACTCTCTTCACTCTACTGCTGCGGCTAGGAGGATTGGCTATGGCCGGTTCTTTCGTCATCGACGGTGACGATGGCGATGGCGATGGCGATGGAGAGGACGAAGAGGCAGAAGCACTGCCATCTCTAGGTGAAGAAGAAGAAGAGGAAGATTCTGAAGAGGCGGTGACGATGAGCGACCGCCGACGACCGACCGCTCCACCTCCTGCTGCCCATTTGCGGTCGCCCCTGCTCGGTACCTGTCTCTTATACACATCTAGATGTGTATAAGAGACAGCTTCACTCTACTGCTGCGGCTAGGAGGATTGGCTATGGCCGGTTCTTTCGTCATCGACGGTGACGATGGCGATGGCGATGGCGATGGAGAGGACGAAGAGGCAGAAGCACTGCCATCTCTAGGTGAAGAAGAAGAAGAGGAAGATTCTGAAGAGGCGGTGACGATGAGCGACCGCCGACGACCGACCGCTCCACCTCCTGCTGCCCATTTGCGGTCGCCCCTGCTCGGTACGGGTCGCTCACTATGTCGCCACCTCCCCACCAAAATCGACAAGTCCGATCCCTGCGCGGCGCGGCGCAAGCCACGTGGCGCAGCCTGTCGCTTCCAACAGACCTCAGTCAGCAGCGCACTTGCCGTCGCCGTCGCCGCGACGCGCTCCAACGCGCCCGCCATGACCATCTCCGATGTGCTTCACTCAGGGATGACACGTGGCCTGCACCGGTCCAGACACGTGGCCCGCAGACGTCGAAACACGTGGACTGCAAACGTTTAGACACGTGGTAAGCACACGTCCGTCATTTCTCGCTCACTGCTCTTCCAGCCAAGCGAAATTCACCCCCCACCTCAGTCACCTCTCTCTATGTGGCGCGATGGTTGCCAAAAGCAAATTGAGGCCCTCCGTATGGCGCCAAGCCTACGAGAAAAAATTGGGGGCCCCTTTGTGTGGCGCGGGGATGGGGCTTCGCCGCACCACTCGCCAAGGTGGAAAAGATATAGACTTAACGTGAGGGCACGGGTGCGTAGTTTGTTTGCTGATGTGGTTCGGGAAGGGTAAGGTAGTGATTATGCTGTATGTATCTTTTGTCATGTTCTGTATACACAACTCGAAGACTGCGTGTGTGTGGGGTCCCGGTTGGTGCTTTATTCACTATGTTCATGGGACGCTGGACCCAGTTTCCAGCAGGTGGCGCTCCCCATCAATAGACAGGAGAACGTGTGTGCATGTTTATGCGAGTGTGTGTGCATGTTTATGCGAGTGTGTGTGTGTGTGTGTGTGTGTGTGTGTGTGTGTGTGTGTGTGTGTG